AAAAAAAAAAAAAAAAAAAAAAAAAAAAAAAAAAAAAAAAAAAAGACAAAGAATGGTAGAAATGACAACAATAAAATAAAGGGACATATTTGAACAAAATATAATTAATGACATAAATGAAAGATAAAATCAATTCTAGATTAGGCCACAAAGATGCAACCTAGGCTCTAATACCAAATTGATAAGGCAATTCTAATCCTCAACCCAACGATCCAAGCCTTTGTTGAAGTAAGAACCCTTGAATCAAAGAAATTAACTCCTCATACAAAATTCGAATCAACCAAGAGAAAGCTAGAACTAGATTACCTCAAGATCAAAGATATAGAATCAAGATTTGGAACCTTGTTCTAAATTGAGTCACTCCACAATCGAACTTGATCAAAGTTTGATTGAATGACTCGGATGCAATCTACCACAAGGATTGCTCGAAACTTAGAAATGACAAATGTGATGCTCAAATTTCTAAGGGGGAAAAATCTCAACTTGAGAGCTTAATTTCATTCATAAAAAATCTGCTTTTACATACTAATTTGTGGGTATTTATAGTCTCTCCACAAAAGAAACAACCAACTCTTCAAATGCCCCCTAAAAGAAGTTACTCCCCACTACCCTTCAAATGTCCGTTATGGCCGCTTTGACAATTAACTTTCCACCCCTTTGCCCACTACAAGAAATTATGGAATTAAAATAATAAATAAATTTTTTAAAGAAATTATCAATAAAGTGTTATTTATCGCAACCCCATTCTCTACTTCGACTGGCAAATATTCACGTATGAAGCTCCAAATGGTCATTCCTCAATCGAATCAGCTTGTAACACATGAAATAGAGGTTGAACCGAGCCTATCTAATTTTGTAGATGAAGAATGAATGCTTGTTGAATCTTTTTGGCCTTGGATCGTGTGATAGGTATAGTTGGAACATTTGGAACACCATGATCCTTATCTTGGCTTCATTTAGTCCTATGAAAAAAAGGGTTTTTCATCAGTTTCGAAGTCTGAAGGTCCAAAACGGTTCAATATTTTGATTTGGATCTTGCTTAACAGTTCTTTTAAGTTCTGCTGAGGTGCTCCGAAAAAATTACCTTCGTAATATTTCATGCATTACAGTACGTTCACTTTGCTCTGCGGATGGAGAGATGTTAGTTCATTTGTTTTTAGAATGTCCTTATTCTTTGGCTTGCTGTTATAGTCTTTTCAACATCTTCAAGGCACAGTGGGTGTTTTCAAAGAACACAAAATGTAATGTTGTTCAGCTACTTATAGGGTTTTCATTGCTTTTGTGGTTGCAGTTTTTATGAACAAGAAACATCTTTCTATTTATGCATGAAAGGGTACAAGATATTTGAAGAAACCACCTCATGAGAGTAGAAAAAGAAAAAAATGATAAACCGACCAAATAAAGTGTGCTGAAACAAAGAAAAAAAATGATAAACCGACCAAATAAAGTGGGCTGAAACAGAGCCCCAAAAGAAAGAATTCAATAGCAAACCAAATAACATCCACCGTCTAACCAAAAGGGAAAAACTAGAAAAGGAACAAAGGAACTCTTCCCAGACAACCAAAAACCTGAAAGACACCACAGACAAGCTAACAATGGCTAGAAGGAAGGATACTGGAAAACAAGCGTATTCGTTGGTTTGATTGTTTTGATTCCTTTAGGCTCAAGGCTTCTCAACAGTTTTTGAAAAAGCTCTTTTGTGGTTTTACCTTACAATATGTTTATTTGAAGTCGGAAGCTTTTATTTTTACATTGTAATTTTGTTTTATCTTTATTTGTTAGTTTGTTTCCTCTTTCACTCCATTTATTCATTTGTATCTTTTGAGCATTAATCTCATTTCATTCCTTTAATGTTAAGTTCTATTCGAGGTAAAAAGATGCAGTTGTCTCTTTCAACCTGTCTAAACCATCCGGTTATATTCATTCCACGTTGTTCTTGCACTCAACATCTTAAAATAATCGTTTTTAGGAGAAATATCAATATCAATATCAATTTACCCTAAAGGTTTATTTTTATGGACAAATAGAATGTTGAAATTCTTTTATGTTTTAATTTCTTTTATCGTCTTTTTCATTGAAAATGAATTGTCAAATCTTTTACTCTTTCATCTTCTGTCTTAAATCTTTTGATACTTTTGTTAAATCATGCTTGCAGGGAGCCCTCAAAGTTTCCATGTTGAGTCCTGGAATTATCTATGAACCTTATTCACCTCGTCAACCAATACCATTTTGGCAGAGGTTAGTTGAATTCCAAAAACTATTCTATTTAAAAAGAAAACAACTATTTTTTAAATTTCGATATTATCTCATCCTACACTCGCCTCCTGACAACCAAAAACTAAATAAATTAAACTCATGAAAATCAAACTAATTAGAGGCTATTTGAATTATGTTGGAAACAATTTACCAAGTACTTCAAGCTCAACACTAGTACTACTACTTGTGAGTATTTCCTTTGAATGCTTTTTTTGCATTTGGAATTTGGTTAAATTACCATTCCTTTTTGTTAAATCACCACTCAACCCAAAAGGTTTTAAGTGATAGTTATCATAAATTTAATCTTGATATCAATACTAATTTACAAGGGTACGAAGGACTTCCTATTTTGACGTCATTGAATTACCACTCGACCTAAATGCCTAAGCTAATGAGTATTGGTCTAAGAAGCATGGATACAGTATGAGTCACGAATACACACCGACACAGTGACACCATTTTTTAAAATCCAGAACATGTTTATTAGTATATATCATTTTTCTACAATATGATATTCAAAGTCATTGACTTTATGCATTTATATGCTTAAAAAAAGTTGACGAATGGGTACCTATTATTACGGTTGGTCAATTTAATCATCAGAAACACCTTTTATTAAATGTTAGTTCATTATCTACATCCGAAGAGAATAGCCAAGGTAAGAAAATTGTTCATATTTGGTAATGGAAGTGACGATTTAAGAGATTTAACCAATTAATGGGGTCTAAATTGAAAAGTTTAAAATTATAGGGATCATACTGAAACTAAGCACGAATTATTGATTTAACCCTTGCAATCTGTTTCCATTTTATAAAATAGTTATTAATTTTGATTATTCCTTAATGGGTTTATTTGTGTTTCTTTTGTATGTCTGTCTTTTGTTACATTAGGTAGATGACAATTGCATAACCCAGAAGGTTTAGTTATTTAATTATATATTTATTTCTATTTTAGTATTTTTGGAATTTGTCATTATTTACCATGTTTTGAACACTTTTGATGTTTCTATGTCAGATGGTTCACAAGAAGTGGTTGGAGGAGAACAAAAGACGATATCATTTTAGAGGTGAATTGTGCCATTTCAACCTTTTGATTTTGAGCTGTTATGCTGCAACTGCAAGTTCTTATTTTATTTATTTTTTGGCTATTATGCTGCAAGTTAAGCATTAATCAGTGTTCTTTTGAGGTCGCAATGCCCAATTTTCATTCTTCTACTTCCCTATCCCTTTTTCCGGTTTCTTTTCTATCTAAGCTTTTGAACTTATCCCTTCATTGTTGCATGACAAAATGAAGTACTGATGAGGGAGATGAGATGTAGAGGGTGTGCATCGATTAGGAGGTGTTTCACCTTCAAAAAGGTGGTTGTGTAAGGTGTGTAGAAGAGCATAGGAGAACACAAGTGGAGAGGTTGGAGTTGGAATTGGGAACGCTAGCTTGTCTCAAGGATTGCTTGGGTCAGATTTTTGATCTAGAAAACCCATTAGGTTTTTGATGGAGGAGGAGGTTGGAAACATGAGTGACCTTCTTCCAAGTTCCATCTAAAGCGAAGGATAGATTTGCTCTAGTTTCTTTGGAAACTCGTAGAGGAGGAAGGTTTTTTTGAAAGGGGTATGGGATGATTCTCCCTTGTTTTGGCATTTTTTGGAACTGGCTAAGCTAGTGAAGAATCAACCTAGGGCAAAGTGTAAGATGTCTGGTGATACAATTGATGTCCTTTGAGACTCCCAAAGCAATTGTGTGACACTTTCTCCTGCCCTTGATCAAGTGAACCTACTCAAAAAGGTGGTTATGAAAGGTGTGTGTAGAAAGAGCACAGAGGAATGTGAGTGGAGAGGTTGGAGTTGGAATTGGGAATGGTTCACCCAAAAAGGTGGTTATGAAAGGTGTGTGTAGAAGAGCACAGAGGAATGTGAGTGGAGAGGTTGGAGTTGGAATTGGGAATGGTAGCTTGGCTCAAGGATTGCAGGGGGCAGCTTTTGAGCTAGAAAACCCATTAGGTTTTTGATGTAGAAGAAGGTTGGAAACATAGTGATCTTTTTCCAAGTTCCATCTAAAGCGAATGATAGGTTTACTCTAGCTTCTTTGGCAACTTGGAGAGGAGGAAGGACTTTTGGCAAGGGTAAGGAATAAGGAGATTCTCCTTTGTTTTGACATTTTTCTGAACTCCTTGCATCGGGGGCTTGGGGTACGATGTTTGGTGTCACAATTGTAGTCTTTTGAGACTCTAAAAAATGATTGTGACACCTGCTCTCGCCCTTGCTACGTTAGAAGCTTGCACGAAGATTAACCGGGCAAGCAAGGAAAGTCAAAATGTTTATGGAAGGTGTCCGAGTACTTAAACTTAGTGCTTGAGCAAGTCAATCAACTCAAATTCAGGATGTCGATGGCACAATAGGCCTATCTTGCATTCTCCACCTCCGTTTTTTGAGAAAAATATTTTTAGAAAGCGGGATTACGGAAAAAGGTTTTGGAAAATCACTGGAAAACTTTTGAGAAAACATTTGTTGTATGCTAAAAAGCATCTAAGATAAACAACAAATTTGATATTATACAATCAAGGTAGGAAGGATGATAATCAGCCTTACACATAGTACATTGAGGCATATTCAATGTGTCACCCTTGCACATGGCAAGAGGTGAGGATTCATACACTAACAAAAGACAAGGAAACTAAATTGGTGTGCAAAATGAAAGCTCAGTAAAAAAAGTTATTACGGGCATGCAACTATAGGTAACACCCTGGACAAACATGATCATGACATTTGACTTCTATGCTCTAGCTTGGAAAAAAAAGTTGGAGATCCTCAATATTGCTACTAGAAGGAGGGTTGAGTTGAAGTTTGGTTTAGAGTTTGAGTTTTCTCTGACTATTACTTGCTATAATTATTGTGAAATTTAGCTAGATCATATATTTTTTTTGGAGCTATGACTTTGCTTATGCAATCTATAGTTGCTTCTTCGTGGAGTTTGACTTTTGTTTTGCTAGGTTTAGAGGTTGTAGAGAGACGATTGAGGAGTTTCTTCTTCACCCACCCTTCTGTGAGAAGGGGAGGTTGTTTTTGGGGCATGTTGGGATCTGTCTGGTATTGTGGGGCTGTTAGGGTGAGAGGAACACTTGAATCTTTAGATGGCTTGAAAGGAATTTGATTGATGTTTGGTCTTTTTTAAAGTTCCATGTTTCTATCTCTGGTGGTGAAGCGTTTTTTGTAATTAACTTTTAGTTGGTTTATTTTACTTGACTTTAGCTATTTTTTAGTTCATAAAGTTTTGTTATTCATTTGTTTTTTTTTTTTTGGATAAAAGACAACTTTATTGATGTTTAAAATTTACGAAAAAGGATGCATTATTCATGATGTTTACGAAGACCTTCCCAATTTATAATGAGGAAGATATGACTATAGGAAGCAAAATATTAGACAATTTACACCAAGATATAGCCTGGTAAACCGCATTGTAGAAGAGCGTCGTATAAGTTTGTGTCTTTTTCGTGATTACTCTTTTATTTTTTTCTTTCCATAGATTTTTTTTAAAAAAAAAAAAAAGGCTATGGTGAGGTCGACTTTTGCATTCTTGGAGGAGTGGTATGTTAAGGCCGTGTCCAGTAAATCCTTTGCCTCCCTAGGAAAAGTTAGATGCCATCCAAAGACATTAATAATCCTTGTCCAGAAATTTTGAGCGTATGTACATTGCATAAATAGGTGGTTTTATGATTTGTTGGCACAGAAAAAGTTTTGTTATTCATTAAAATAAAACTTTACTCCTGTTCACCTTACTACTGAAACAATGTCTGCTCAATATACATTGGCTGCGTATCTGATGTGAACCTCTGTGTGCTGATTTATTATAGAAGAACTTATGCTCATGTATGGAAGTAATAGATGAAGGCCGCCTAAGTTTTGTGGAGTGTGCCGAATAGAGGCCTGATATCTTTCTTTTTTTTTTTTTTTTTTTTTNTTTTTTTTTTTTTTTTTTTTTTTTTTTTTTTTCCTTTTTTGCAGCTAAAAAGTGCTTACGCAATTGCAAAATTAAGAAAGAAGGGGTACTCAAAGAAACAATTTTACGAAGAGGCAGTAAATTTATATAAAGAGGTATTCAAGATTCGTGTATCACATTACTGGTTTACGAAGTGCTTTATGAAATATATTTAACATTTTCTTTCAGTAAGATTATCTTAAGAACCGTTTCCTTTGTGGAAAGAACCTGCCTGGCTTTTCATAATTTTGTGGATGATATAAGATTGTAAATTTCTTGAAGGCCAAAGAGTTGCTTTTGCTTCTATTGACGACTATTTTCCTCTGTGAAAGAACCTACCTGGCTTTTTCATAATTTGTGTTCGGATATTGAAGATTGTAAATTCCTTAAACCTCTAATGGATTACCGTTGCTACATACAGTGAAGTTGTAACGTTACATTAAAAAAGAGTTTGCTTTTGCTTCTTGATTTGTTCTTGGAGAAGTATCTGGGAATGGGAACAGTACACAAATCATTTTCTGAAGCCAATTTTCCAGCAGGGGGAAGGCCATTTCCATTGTCACATAACCTTTTTATAGTTTCATTACACTTGTAGCATAACCTTTTTGATTTGGCAATTGATGCATTTTCCAGTTTTCTTCAACGAAATTTGTTATGAGTAAGAAGAAAAGTCAAGTTTGTTTACCCACGAGCTGATGGCTACCTTCTCATTTTATCTTCTTTTTATTTGATGTAAAATTGCTGAACCTTGAATTGTACGTTTTTCAGATAAACACTTTGATAGCAAATGGTGACAAAACATCGTTGAGGAAAGCAGTCACAGAGAAAATGTATTCAGTATGCATCACCCTTTCCTTTTGCTTTTCAGCTATGCCTACTTTGAGATCAAGTTCTCTTTCCCACGTTTTCTTTACTTGTTCTCGTCTATTAACTATGCAGATTCTGTTTTTTTTGGAAAGGAAACAAAATCTTTGTTGGATTGAAGACTGATATGTAGGTTCTAACTTATTACCTCGGCCTCACCTACAGGCATTGAAGAATGAAATCAAACTCAGAGAATCCAAATGGAACAAAGTTTACTGGGAAATGATCCTACCAGTTGTCAAGATCCGCACGTTACGAGCTAGATTGGCAAGTATTATTACTCTTACATTTCTGTTTGTCCTATTCATGCATTTGTCAGGCTGCTCACAATAAGATATATTTTTGTGATACAATCATAACCTGTCCATGTTCCAGTTCCTCCTTAATTTTTCTAGTTACTCAGCTTTAGAAGGTCATGCCTGCATTGAAGAGAAAAATAATAGGTTAATTATTTTTGGCTAAATATACGTTATGACCTCTAATGTTGGGGTATGCTTTTTCCATTATTCCCTTAAAAAGTTCTAATTTTACTCCCTTACTTTAACATTTTCAATTTTAGTCCTTCACTATTGTTGAATGTTAAAATTGGTATGATTAACTTGCATGTCGTAATACTCGATGAAATCATGGAACTTATAAATGTTTGTTATTCCTTTTCTAATTCTCTATTAAAAGGGTAAAAACAAATATTCTTCTCTTCAATGATATTTTTTCTCCACCAAATTTCTTACCGTTCACCTATTATTTTTGTCATGTAAGTTTAACATGAACTAATTTTTATCTTCATCAACAGTCTGATAGGTATCACCTAACAAATATTTTCTTTAACAATAAAAAAAAAAAAGAAAAAGAAAAAAAGAAATTCAATAACTCCAAAAGAGGAACAATCCCTCTGAGAAGTTCCATCAAAACAATGCCTGTCATCACTAGTTCATCCAGAGCTTTAAAATAGCAATACTAAGCCTAAAACCTACGGTCCAAACAGAAAATGAACATCCAAAACATAATAAAGCATAAACATAAATGACCCACAGACATAGAACCAAATAACAGGCCCTTATCTGCTTCTTCAGACACAAGTGTTCGTAACCAAGATCTTACACAGTGATGGACTAAATTGAGAAGTATTAATATATAAGAGACTAAATTGAACAAAATACTCCAACATTAGATTCACAAATATAAGATTTCATTCGTGTTAGTGGGGAGTTGAAAAGAAGGAGAAATGAGACATCTCTACATGACATGAAGGGAAAAGGCTGTTTATCACTTCAATGTTTTACCAACATTGTTCGATCTTACCATCTTCCCCTTTTGTGGTGCATCTTGAAGTGCTCCTTACCTCATCTGCAAATAATAGTTTTACCAAGTTCCATGAACTTTGAGTCATCTGGCAAACCTATGTTTCTGACCCGTCACCCTTCCATACATTTCATGATTAGATCCCTTCATCATGACATACTGCACTGCAAATTCCCTAGGAAAGTAAAAAAATTCTTCCTTCGGGAGCTTAGTTATAAATAACTATGATAATCTTCGAAGAAGGAACCCAAAGAGGGATCCCCTACAAGAAAAGAAGAAATAAAAAAGGAAAAAAAGAAAAAAAAAAAGAAAAAGAAGAAGAAAAAGAAAAAAAAAATCTTTCATATTTTTCAAGCCAAGTCCACATTGGACGATTCTCATGTGAAGTTAAGCCAAAGAGTTCTGCGCTGTCTTTAAACAGACGATTGAGAGGAGAAAAGAGTTTGTCAGCCGCTTCTATTGAAATAGTTTTTATCTTTGCTATTTCAGAAATTCCTACTCTTGATTTTCTTTTTCCCAACAATTCAGTATTCAAGCAGAAGGCAGATGCCTAATACTTTAACCAAAGTAACTACCTATATTTACAAGATTGTTTGACATTGATTTCAAAAGCATGTAATTAGGCCAACTATTATTATACCCTGAAGAGAACCGCATACAGTCATACCCATGAGTTGAATGGTTCAAACTATCTACAATGGTCGCAGAGCATATTATGTTCTTTGTTAAAGAGTGTTGTTTGCAAATCCAACTTGTAACTAAAAACTTCACTCTTTATGAGTCTAATGCTGCCAGTTTGCCACCACTTAGAAATTTAAACTGTTTGTCCAAGCCATATAATTTCTACATTTATAGAGCATTTTCAATTATTATGGTTAGATAAAAATCATCAATATTATCACCAGCTAATTTCCTCAAAGTGGAAGTATGTCGTTGTTCTGGTTTGATTATAATCTTGTACCCTTTCTTTTCCCTGCATGCACAGATTGGTGTTGATCGAAGTGACCTCGAAAAGGTTTTCGTTCAGCTTACCCTTGAGATTCTTGCCAAGCAGGTATACTAAGCGTTATACCTATTCTTCTTATGCTCTCAACTGTTTCATACTTTGTGTGCATACAACCGTGTTCTCTCCGCAATCTGTAAAATATGGTGCCTTATTGTAACTAATTAATGCTAGAAATCATAGCAACTAGTGAGGCCCATAGTTGTGTAGTCGGTAAACTTGTAGAGGGGCTTTTATTATGCATGACATTCTAATCTAATAATTGTTGATCATCAAACATGGTAAGGTCACTCTGGATTTTTCCTAGACAGAGCTTATCAAAGCTTGCTTTTTCTTTGTTCTTTTCCTTTTTCTTAATTTGATCCATTATTTTTTTGTTTATTGTATGGAGGAGTTGTGATAATGGAACTGCCTCTAATATGCATGAGAGCTCCCCTTAAGCTAAGTGAATTTCCAACAATAGCAACAACAACCCCAAGAAGGTTAAACAAATTTACTTAGAAAGATGATCATTGATCAAGGAGAACTTGTTTTTATCTTCAAGATTTTGACCTCTCCACAATTTAATTGATCAAACGGATTGAAAGTTCTGAACTTGTATTCTAAAAACAAGAATACAAAGTTCTAATGGAGGTCAGTTATATTCAAGGAGTTTAGGATCGCTTTTTGTTTGCCAAAGAGGTCGATGATTGGCTTGTGGAAGTGTTAAATGGTTGGCACTTTAAAAGAAGAGGGAAGACCCTTTAGTGTTGTGCTACTAGAGCTCTTTGGTGGCATCTTTGGAGAGAAAGGATCTTCGAAGATAAGCTTTTGTCTTTTGATTCTTTTTATATGTATTGTAACAAAAGGTCTAGTTAGCTATAATCAACTGACATTTTTGTTTCACACAAGATATCTATCAATTTGACTTCCTTGGAGTCCTTCTTAGCTTCTCACTTCTAATGAAGATGTTCACTGATATAAATATGCGTTTGTAGAAGTTTGAAGCATATAATGCGGAAGGTGCTGTCGTTGCTGGAGATAAATCTAAGGAGGTATATATCACTCTCCCTTTCGAGTAATATTTGTCTACAAAAAGTACAGAAGCATCATTGAAATCAAAATGTCACCTTGATAATGTTCCTATTTCAGGTTTTCTCTTTCTTGTTTCCAATATTTGGTGTTCGATAACCATTCCTGTTTTTTGATTTTATTATTTTTAGAAATGTTTCTAAAATTGTGTAGGAATGTTAGAAACAACAAAACGAAGTTTCTTGTTTTTGTTTCTAGTTTTTTCCAAAAACATAAATGTAAGTATTAGTTTATCATTTTTTTTCCCTAAAATGCACCATCATTTTTGTATAGAATATAATTTCTTTCAATATTAAATTTTAAAAACTTATTTTCATGTAAAAATTTTATTTTTTAATTCAAAACTTAAAAGAACAAGAAACAAGAAATGCTTATTAAACATGTTCTTTTTTTTCAAAATCGAACCATTAGATTTAGGGAATGTTCAATTTTAGTCTCAGACAACAGGATGACAATTTAAAAGTAATAATAATTCAAATAATTATAAAAACTCTCGCATCTCTACTCTTCCCCTTCTTTCTTTCCCACTCTCTCTTCTTTTCTTCCAATTTTTTTCTATTTTCAAATCTTAATTTCTTCGGAGTTTTTTTATTATTTCAATTTCTTTTCCACATTGTTTATTTAGATTTTGCTTAAAACGAAAATGTATATTGGGTTAGATCTGGAAATTTTTCTGAGGAAATGAATTTTGAAAGGAAAAACAAGAAGAAACAGAGAGTGAAAGTGAATAAAGAGATGAAGGCGACATTGTGAAGTTTCTGGAACTTAATAATAAAATAAATTATTATTATTATTATTATTATTATTTAAAAATTTCCACATACTCCAAACTTTTAAGGTTCAAAAAGGTAATTTTCCATTTTCATTATTGGAAAAAGAGGAAATTAGAAAAAGAAGAACCGGAAACACAAAATAATTCATTCAGTCACTTCTTGGCCTATGAAGTAGCGAGTATGAACAGCTATTTGTAGTGCCTTTTCCATCCTTGGTGTGCATATGACCATTCAAACATTGAATAGGCTTCCCACAACTGAACTGAAAGAAATAAAGGCTTATCATGATTCCTTCATAATTTCAATTGGTATCTTTAATTTTCTTTCATGGCAACGATTTTGATTATATTATATGTGTGCTACTACTACACCTTTCAGGTCCTTGTCCGTGATATCTGGGTATTTGAGAAATCTCTTTTTCATGAGGGAGCTTTTTGGCGTCTCTGTGGGCGAATTCCAATCTAATATCATCCTTCACAGTAGAAGCTTCTTTATCCAATTTTGTAGATCAACAGGTTCCATCTTTACTTTAATAATTTCTTTTTATTATTCTATCATATACAATTGTGTAGTTTATGAATTCACTCCTAAATTATGATATCAACACGAGAGACGTTCCTAGGAATTTTAATTCTAATAATTTTTGGTATCTTCCTTGTTCAAGCCATCTCTAGTAGAGATAAGCGTGACAGTGATTATTCAAATAATTCTTTTAATCCTTTTCCTTTCTAGTTCCCTGTTCATCAGAATTGCTTTCAGCTAATTAATAACAGTTTTCATTTTTTTTATTGTGTTGGGTGGTTATATGATAAAAGAATGGCACTTTTTAGTCCATGATGTTTGAGTATAGTAGCATTTTGGTCTGTGAGTTTTCAAACTCGAAATTTTAGTCAGTGAGGTTTGATTTTAGCAGCATCTTAGTACCCATCAGTTTTTCCTTTAATTTTTAATGGAAAGCTGGTGTGGCATTTGTGTTTTTTTATTTTAAAAGAAATATTTTTTTTTTTTTTTTTTTTTTTTTGTATTTTTTAATTGAAAAGATATATATTTTCGTTCTGTTGCTGGCTCTCTTTTTCCTTGTTTGTTTCCTTTCCTCTCTTTCCCCTTGTGAAATCCCACGTTGGTTAGAGAGGAGAACGAAACATTCTTTATAAGGGTCCCTAGCAGCTGCATTTTAAAAAGCTCGAGGGGAATTCGAAAGGAAAATCCTAAAAAGGACAATATCTGCTAGCGGTGGGCTTGGGCTTGGGCTTGGGCTGTTACAAATGATATCAGAACTGGGCGATGTGCCAGCGAGGAGGATAAACCCAAAAGGGGATAGACAAGAGTCGGTGTGTCAGAAAAGACGCTGGGCCCTGAATTAGGGGGTCCCACATCAATTGGAGAAGGGAATGAGTGCTAGTGAGGACACTGGGTTTAGAAAGGGGTGGATTGTGAGATCCCACGTCGGTTGGAGAGGAGAATGAAACATTCTGTATAAGGGTGTGAAAACCTCTCCCTAGCAGATGCGTTTTAAAAACTTTAGGTGGAAGCTCGAAAGGGAAAACTCAAAAGGGACAATATCTGCTAGCAGTATGCTTGGGCCATTGCACCCTTCTTCTTTCTTACGTTTTCAAAAAACATAGATCTGGAAGACGCCTTCATCTGAAACGATGGCAATGTCCTTGTCGTTTCAGTCTAGTTGTTCTCTTGCAATTTTGATGTTGGGTTCACTGCTTGTTGCTGAATCTCTCAACCATATACTGTTTTCTGCCACACACTGCCTTGTTGCTCTGTAGTCATCCGACGCGTATTGCGGCGTCACCATTTACGACTCCCAACTGTGCCATACCCTACATCTTTGCACACTGTTGCCATTTCTTTCTTGTCTGTCTTTGCACATTGATGCTTGAAGCTATATTCAGGGCATCAAAATCTACATACCTAAGAACCATTTTCTCTTAATAGTTGCCTATTAATGCTTGAAGCTATATTCAGGGTGTTTTAAGGTTCATTTTCGGGTATCAAAACTGTAGCGTGTTGAGTATCAGCAGCGTTAAGGAGAAAGCCGTGACTTCCATGCTTTGAATTGGGATCTCTTGGAAGGAAGTTTTGCCTTACTTTTCAAGTAAAATACCATATGATTCTTCTATGATCTTTTCTTTACTCTTCTTATATAAGAGATTGATTCATAGGAAGACAAACTCTTTGGGGCCAAGGTTGCATCCTTTCAAGGTACGAATTATTCTCTATTTGTCTACTCTCTTCATCAAGTAAAGTATATATGCATTTGGCGCATTACTCATTCACTCAACATTTTCTTTTAATCCAACATCCCTTCCCAAAACATTCCAATGGACAATCGAGAATGTAAGTTTCCATTCTTCGACATATGTTACCAATTGTTCCATTTTATTATGAAACTCCTATCATCTAAAGCTCGAGAAACTGTTACTCTTGGAAACCCGGTGTCACATGATTCAAATGGTTCGTCCCAAGAGCTCAGATCTGTGAATTCAGATCATTCTGTTTCGTCTCTTAAGAATGATGTTCTTGATGAACAGGAGCTCCATTCGTCTAAAGTCGATGATTCTTGTGTTACTCCTTCGCATATCGGAGATAAGAGTGATAAGAATCATCATTTTGTACCATTGCCTTCTACAATCAAACATGCTCCAAAGAAAATTGTTAGTATCAAGGAAACGGTCGAGGATATTGATTCTATCATGAAGGAAAGGAGGAAGAACAAAGGAACAAAAAAGTCGAAATCTTTTGATTTTGATAATGAATATGATGGTTCCTTGAAGCCTACTCGATCGATTCTCAAGGTTGGCTCATTAAACGATAAGTCAGATTTATTAAACTCTTTGAATCGTGTTGAGTAGAGCTAATAAGAAAGTTGTAGTTTGCAATTTAACATTGGATCATGAATAAATATGTACATTAAATAAATTATTCGCAAATATTTGTAATTCGAATCAATTGGGTCGATTTTGTTTTTGTTAGTTTCATCGAATTTTTTGTTTGCAAATAGTCGTGTACGAACCTACCCAAGTCTTTCTTGAATTCATTCCAACCAAGGTCTCATAGGAGTCCTAGGAGTTGATGAAGCACGACTTAGCTTTGTGCGGGAGTCCCGGGAGACTTAGGAGATGTTATCCTAGTTGAAGGGGATCGATACATAATTAAAAGAACTGAATTTTATTCGGTCATGAAATTATATGGTTAATTGCATTTTCATAATTTTACATATCAACATCTTGTTCATACCCGAGGTCTCAAAGTTGACCACACGCAAGACATGACATATGTGTATGAACAACCGTCACATTCATCGTATACTCAAATAAATATCATGATTTACGACCTAACCCAAATTTCCATTAAAAGAGATTTTTAGTAGTAAGTAATTTCTCAGCTTAGTCCAAACTTGAACATCTCAATATTAATAATATAATCGTTTTGACCAAATACTATAGTAATATCTAATTACATTAGTTTAGATAATTTTCAAAATCTTTAACGGGATTAGATATTAAAAAAATAAAATAAAATAATAATAATAATAAAAAAAAAAATTCTGCAGTCGTCAGCGAGATTGAAAACTTTGATGTTCGTCGGAGTTTTCGTTTGCACACCAAAGCGCGCCCGACGTTGGGATCACCACGAGAACCAACCCCGATCCTCAGCCAAACCACTTGCAAGAAACAAAATGAAAAAACATGAGAGTTTGAGAAAGAAATCGATGACGCTTAGGCAAAGCCAAACCATACAAAATTGACTTCGAAACCTCCGATCTACTCAACAAAAACAATCCGAGAGACCTTTATACAAACCAGGGATAGATTTTGACATTGCTTACATGTCGTACACCATTGAGGAAGGAAGACAGAACATCGAGTTTTTGGACCTTCTCAGATCTGGGAGTCTCAGACTTTTTTCGAGCCAAACTAACACCATAAATGGGATTAAGGGGAAGAGGAGACTGAAAACGGAAGAAAAAAAAGGAGGAAAAAGGACGTTGAAACGGCGTTGCCGAGGAGAGAGAGAGACCGCCGAAAAATTTCGTTGTTAATCGGGCGAAGGAGACGAAGTCCGACCGAGATTCGGACCCGCAACCCTAACTGATACGACCTAATCCAGTCCAAACCCTTGACCGACGAAATCTCCGCAGTCCAGACGTCTCAATCCAAACTAGAAAGTCCAATTATGGCCTAACCCATCAGCCACGACCCGAGACCAAAAACCAAACCGATTCGAGTCCCTCAAGCCCAATCCAATACCGACGCTGACAGCCCAAACCCACTCGGCCCAACGAAATAACCCAGACCCGATCTACTACCCATGGTCAGCCCAGACCTGTGATTGCAACCCAAAAACCCATGCCTCGAACCGACAACCCGCGCCTCGGCCCGACTTCGGCTAGCACACGCAACCGCTCCTAGTTACGCCACGTGTCAGCATCTGGCGCAAAACTCTCCTCAACTCTAGCGGCTTATTCGGCTCGAAAAACCTATTTGGCATTGTTCATCGAGTCTAGTGACAATGGTGTATCTTGATCGAAGGCAGTTAGAGAATTCAGTGAGGTGGAAGGCTAAGGCACGACTTGACATGCAAGAGCTGTATGAGAGAGAGACAGGGTCGGTGGTAGGGCCGAGCAACACCAAGCAATAAGTAACTAACCCCAACTTGCTCTTAGATTTCAAATGGTTTGATAAAACATGGAATGAGCTACTCTTTCTACCAAACCTCAAAACACCTCTTCTTTTATCTACTTTGTGTTGTTTATATCATTCTCCTAATCTTTTGGATAGCCATACTCGTAATTTATACTAACAAAATGCTTAATAATTTGCGTTTTACTACCTCATCTTAGTAAGCAAAGATCCTGCACCTTTTTCGTCATGTCGATGGTTGCCTGATAGCTATTATTATATGATCATTCCATGAACGACAAGTTGGAGTCCTAACTATCAAGAAAATCCAACATACAAACGCGTTTCATATCTTCTAAGATCTTGTTCAAACATTGAGTTTAGTGATCCATCTATGAGTAAAAGGTTGTGCTAAACTTGAGTACACCTCAAAACTTAAAACTTTGCAAAAGATGGACGTGAAACGAGGATCTCATTCCAATACAACAGAAATAGAATGTGATGTTCCACATTGGTTGGAGAGGAGAACAAAACACCATTTATAAGGGTGCGGAACCGTTCCCCTAGTAGGCGCATTTTAAAGCCTTGAGGGGAAACCCGAAAGGAAAAATCCAAAGAGGACAATATCTGTGAGCGGTGGATTTGGACCGTTACATAGAAATCCATATAATCTAACAACTTAACTTCTACGACTTATAAGATTAACCATTCAAGACCTTTAGTCATTACGTTACGTTATACCCCTAACATGGTTAGATTCTAAACTTGAGCCAAACTTCTTGAAATCTTAGTGTACATTGAAGCTAAGTCGAGGCATACACAAAGTTCGAGAGAACGAGGCGACCCAATTATCGAAGACAAGTTTAAAGAGAGTCATGTAGGACCTCGAGCCAAAACCTCAGAAGTTAGAATTTCAATATGAGTTCCGACATGCGGCTTGGGAATTAAGTGACTTGATACACAAAATATAATTTACTCCCTTTTATACCGGTTGTTCATTGCTATATAAAATAAATTTTTTTGCTCAACAATGTTTTTTTTAATATAATTTACTTACCGCTAAATTAAAATATTTTATGCTTAAAGACATTAATCATACCTTCGTACTACCAAGCCCTGCTTAATGGACTCACTATACAACAAGTAACTGAAGTAGCCACAAGCACGGACAATTAGGTGGTCTTACTAGTAAGTAGACATCATGTCATCACATATAACGAACGTGGAAATTAGGTGGTCTACTTTTGTCTCGAGAACAATGAGACCCTATAAAATATTTCAAATTCAAATAAATATAATTCGCTTTCGCACTTTGCCATAATTTTAATGTCAACAATAATAGAATCCAAATCTCAAACAACCAAACAAAAATAATCACGAAAAACCAGATACTCGAGATAGAGCGTCAACCCCTCCAAAGACCTTTATGCAGTTATGCAGATTTACGTGAAGAGGGATGTCGTCTGTAGAAGCAGATTTACGTGATGAGATGTCGTTGTAGAAGCCGATTTACATGAAGAGAGATGTCAGTTTTTTAAGTAAGGTATATATTAGATTGCCAAATAATCGATTAAAGAAAGAAAACAGCCTGTACCCAATTACGCAGATTCGATTAAAAATTGGCCAAGAATACATGTGAACAGAATTATGGAGAGTGTTAGACGAACACGACTCTCCACAATGGTATGATATTGTCCACTTTGAGCATAAGCTCTCATGGCTTTGCTTTGGGCTTCTCCAAAAGCCTCAAACCAATTCTTCACTTATCCCTAAATTAGGGCCAAAAGCCTCAAACCAATTCTTCACTTATCCCTAAATTAGGGGATGTGGGACTTCCATCACCTCCCCTTGATGGAGAGGGGACTCCTTTTGAGTCTTAGTCATTTTTGACTGCCTTAGGAGTTACCAATCTATTGGCACGACTAAGTTTAGGGCATGGCTCTGATACCATGTTAGAGGAACACGACTCTCTACAATGGTATGATATTGTCCACTTTGAGCATAAGCTCTCATGGCTTTGCTTTGGGCTTCTCCAAAAGGCCTCAAACCAATGGAGTTAGTATTCCTCACTTATAAACCCATGATCAATTCCTAAATTAGCCGATGTGGGACTTCCATCATCCAACAGAGAGAACAAAAATGGCCATCACGTAGTTACATCATGTAAAAGAAGACTAACGTGAAGAGAGATGTCTTCAGTTTGTTACCGTAAAATATATATTAGATTGCCAAAGAATTGATTAAAGAACCAAAATGGCCTTTACACAGTTACTCAGATTTACGTGTAGAAACAGATTTATGTGAAGAAAGATGTCATAGGAGCAAATTTACGTGAAGATAGATCTCGTGAGTTTGTTACAGTAAGGTATATATTAGATCGCCAAATAATTGATTAAAAATTGGCAAGAATATATGTGAATAGACGTCTAATAATAAAAAAAAACTAAATATAGAAATTAACTTGAAATGAGTGCCATGAGTTCATATAGATTGATTTGGATACAAAGAACAAAATCGAATTTTCACGAAGTATAAGTTGGTGACACTAGTCTAAGCTAATCAGGTAAGTGGCCTTACTATCGACATGGTTAGATTTGATGTTGTGTTGATACGTTCCCCGTGGTTCTGCGCATGTCATAATAATCGTATTCTCATGATATATGTGAATCGTTTATGAAATGATATGACTATAATATGATATGCGTGAATGGTTAGAAATGGGAATAAAACATTCTTTATAAAAATGTGAAAAGCTTAGACGGTTACATTACCCAAAATACAATAGCTCAAAGTTCGACTTTATTGGTATAGGTAGTAACTCTTTTTTTAGTCGTATTTTATCTTTAGAATTTCTCTTATTTAAACCGTGTCTCGTTTCATTCATATACCTTTCCTTTATTCCGGTGTCACAAAAATATTTTCGAGAAACAAATTTAAGAATTTATATATGAATGTTTGATTACCCCAAAGTCATTTCTTATCTTTGACCTAATTAAAATTAGAATATTCTTAAATTTTTATATTTTAAATACTAATAATAATAAAGTCCCCTATGGAATTAGGCAAATGAAAGGAATAATCTTATGATTCTTATGAATAAATTCAGAAAAAGAATTAGGCCAAAGGATACATTCTTATGATTCTTGAGGGAATTTCAAGATGCTAGGGAGAAATGACGGAGAAGGAATGAAGAATTTTTATGGAAATTATGGAGTTTTGGAGGAAAAATAATAATAAAATATTCGAAAAGTGGTAAATTACCAAAATACCTCTAAAGTTAAGGATAATTAGGATTGGCCATTCTGCTAAAAAATCCGATCCTTCACTGTGCCTTATGCACAAAATCCTTCAAATCTCGACTCTCAGTTGTTCAATCTCCTCTAAACTTGAATATATTCTAGAAAACTCACGGATCATCACATCATTCTCCTTCAAATCTCGACTCTCAGTTGTTCAATCTCCTCTAAACTTGAATATATTCTAGAAAACTCACGGATCATCACATCATTCTCCTTCAAATCTCGACTCTCAGTTGTTCAATCTCCTTTAAACTTGAATATATTCTAGAAAACTCACGGATCATCACATCCAACAGCTAGGATTCAGAACCAAAGTCGATGAGGTTGTGATCGGAGTAGATATTTCCGACGAATTAGAGCTCCCAATGTCGGTTTATGCTTTCCCTATAAATTCTGAAGTTGGGGCTGTTAGACGAACACGACTCTCCACAATGGTATGATATTGTCCACTTTGAGCATAAGCTCTCATGGCTTTGCTTTGGGCTTCCCCAAAAGGCCTCACACCAATGGAGTTAGTATTCCTCACTTATAAACCCATGATCACACCCTAAATTAGTCGATGTAGGACTTCCATCATCCAACACCTCCCCTCGAACAAAGTGCGCCTCCCCTTAATCGAGGCTCGACTCCTTTGGAGTCTTAGTCATTTTTGACTGCCTTCGAGGAGGGGCTTAGCTCCTTTTCTTTAAGAGTTCTTTGTTCGATATTTGAGGATTTGAGGATTTACCAATCTATTGGCATGACTAAGTTTAGGGCATGACTCTGATACCATGTTAGACGAACACGACTCTCCACAGTGGTATGATATTGCCCACTTTGAGCATAAGCTCTCATGGCTTTGCTTTGGGCTTCCCCAAAAGGCCTCATGCCAATGGAGTTAGTATTCCTCACTTATAAACCCATGATCACACCCTAAATTAGTCGATGTGGGACTTCCATCATCCAACACCTCCCCTCGAACAAAGTGCGCCTCCCCTTAATCGAGGCTCGACTCCTTTGGAGTCTTAGTCATTTTTGACTGCCTTCGAGGAGGGGCTTAGCTCCTTTTCTTTAAGAGTTCTTTGTTCGATATTTGAGGATTTGAGGATTTACCAATCTATTGGCATGACTAAGTTTAGGGCATGACTCTGATACCATGTTAGACGAACACGACTCTCCACAATGGTATGATATTGTCCACTTTGAGCATAAGCTCTCATGGCTTTGCTTTGGGCTTCCCCAAAAGGCCTCACACCAATGGAGTTAGTATTCCTCACTTATAAACCCATGATCACACCCTAAATTAGTCGATGTAGGACTTCCATCATCCAACACCTCCCCTTAATCGAGGCTCGACTCCTTTGGAGTCTTAGTCATTTTTGACTGCCTTCGAGGAGGGGCTTAGCTCCTTTTCTTTAAGAGTTCTTTGTTCGATATTTGAGGATTTGAGGATTTACCAATCTATTGACACGACTAAGTTTAGGGCATGGCTCTGATACCATGTTAGACGAACACGACTCTCCACAATGGTATGATATTGTCCACTTTGAGCATAAGCTCTCATGGCTTTGCTTTGGGCTTCCCCAAAAGGCCTCACACCAATGGAGTTAGTATTCCTCACTTATAAACCCATGATCACACCCTAAATTAGTCGATGTAGGACTTCCATCATCCAACACCTCCCCTTAATCGAGGCTCGACTCCTTTGGAGTCTTAGTCATTTTTGACTGCCTTCGAGGAGGGGCTTAGCTCCTTTTCTTTAAGAGTTCTTTGTTCGATATTTGAGGATTTGAGGATTTACCAATCTATTGGCATGACTAAGTTTAGGGCATGACTCTGATACCATGTTAGACGAACACGACTCTCCACAGTGGTATGATATTGCCCACTTTGAGCATAAGCTCTCATGGCTTTGCTTTGGGCTTCCCCAAAAGGCCTCACACCAATGGAGTTAGTATTCCTCACTTATAAACCCATGATCACACCCTAAATTAGTCGATGTGGGACTTCCATCATCCAACACCAACCCTCGAACAAAGTGCGCCTCCCCTTAATCGAGGCTCGACTCCTTTGGAGTCTTAGTCATTTTTGACTGCCTTCGAGGAGGGGCTTAGCTCCTTTTCTTTAAGAGTTCTTTGTTCGATATTTGAGGATTTGAGGATTTACCAATCTATTGGCATGACTAAGTTTAGGGCATGACTCTGATACCATGTTAGACGAACACGACTCTCCACAATGGTATGATATTGTCCACTTTGAGCATAAGCTCTCATGGCTTTGCTTTGGGCTTCCCCAAAAGGCCTCACACCAATGGAGTTAGTATTCCTCACTTATAAACCCATGATCACACCCTAAATTAGTCGATGTGGGACTTCCATCATCCAACAGGGGCAATAGTTTGGAATAAGAATCGAGGAAGGTCGAGCTCCCAATCGTAGGCAATAAGCGTTTAGATTTTGGGTCTCCTACTCTCGGGTTTCTTCCAAATTCGAGAGCAATTCTCTACCATTTCCTTTCAAACTTGTTCCTATAGTTTCTAAACAATATTACCCACAAGTGCTATGAAGGAATAGAGTTCTGAAAGTGCCTAGAAACCATTCTCCCCAATCCAATCTGCCATTAAAGAGCTTCAAGGAAAACTCAAAATTCCAATCCGAGGATACACGAGAATTCGTCGAGCAAGGACGATCTCCATAAGTTTCTGCACCTTCAAGGAATGTTTCCATAGAAGACCACGAAGAGAAATAACCTCAGAAACGTTTCCAATTGAAGAAAATTCATTTCGTGTTCAAATTGAGGGTAAGTATCGAATTCCTATCTACGACCTCTTTTCCTTCAAATTAAGGATTCCTTTAGCTTAAGAGGAAGAACATGAGTAACTTTGATGAAGGAATCAAGAGCTGAAATGTCGTAGAACAAGATACCTAAGAGATCGAAAATCGGAGGTGTCATGTAACTTGCAGACCGAGAGTGATTTCTCAAAGTTAAGGTCCCACACTCAAATTCGTTCCTCGAAACCAATTTCTTAAGCTTGAGGAAAGAACAAGGAAGAAGTTTCATGAAGAAATCGAGCCTTGAAACCCCCCCTAGAATCGACTACCCAATAAGAAATCCTTTGTTTTTACTCCAGCGAGAAGTTATATTTTGGACGAACTTTGGAAGCGAATATCTTAGGCTACGATCCACGAAAAGGTATGAAATCAATCCATAGCTCTTCCTTGTAATACCCTCTTTAAGTTTCATGAAGAAATTGAGGGGAGAAATGGCGTGATCGGAGTTGGAGAGGGCGAGTTTCAGACAACGGCGCGAATGGATAAGCACGTCTTCTTCTCGTCTGGAGGAAGAAGACGATGACGTGGCCGGTTCAGTTGAACCGGCCATGTCAACCAAAAACTCGACCTTCCCTTGGTTTTTCTAAAATTTAACCCCCTTCCAGAATGGTTCTCAGAAAAATCTTTATGGTTCCAAAAACTGGACACAACAAGGAGTCTGTAGAAGAAAATTTAAGGTAATTCAGGTATCGGAAGATCAAGAATGGAGGTCCTGAACGTTGACAACGAGGTAAGTAGTCACCTTGCACTTTTTCGTTAAGAAATACTTGTAGGAATTACTTGAATTTCCATATGAACCCTAAAACAAGTATGAATTTAGGATATGAAAGAAAAGCTCAAAGAACCGTGAGTTAAGGCCCTAAATCGATCAAAATGCTCGAGAATTAGGTAACGTTAAAATAACCGACGAGATGAACTCTGCTCTACTAGCCTAAAAAAAAAAAAAAAA